TGCGGAATCACAATTCCACACTCCTTCGCTCAGAAGCCTGCCGTGACGCCACAAAGCCCCAGCAGGGCAAGCAGCAATAGCCAATTCACGCACCCACGCACAGCGCCGTCGCTCTCTGTGTTCATCGGGAACGGCCCTGTCATGTTCTTGAAGGCAGCGGAGCTGTTGCTTAAGTGCGGTGCAGCGTCGCGTGTTGGCGGGCTGCCTGGCTGCCCAGGCGCCTGAGCCGTGGGTGCCGTGGCGGCGTTGCTGGGGGCCCCGTGGCCGCCGTCCGCGTCCGCCGCAGTTTGGGGGCCTGCGCCATTTTCTTTGGCGGCAGCGTTTGGCGTCTCGCTGGTGGGCGCGGCGGAAGCAGACGGCACGCCGCCAACGGCCTCTGGCGCGTGCGACGGAGGGGTCTGCTGCGCCTGGCCGTCATCCATGGGCCCACTCTGCACAGACGCGTCACCCACCGGGCCCGCCGTGCCTGCACCGTCTGCGGGAGGCGAGGGCCCTCGTTGCCGCTCAGAAGTTTCCGCACCGACGGCCTGCTCAGTTGCGCCTGGGCGAGGAGCATCGGCCGCATCCGGCGCTGCCGACGGTGGGGACGCCAATGCATCGCCACTGTCTTCTGTCTTTTTTTCCTCCTCCTTTTCTTTTTCATCCTCCGCCTCTTCTGCTTCCTCTGTGTCGGAGTTGGGCGTGAGTTTAGAAAGTGTTGGGGCGTCGCCTGCTTCTCGGTCTGCTTCCTGCGTCAACTGAGTAGCCGCTTCTTCTTCAGGTGTGCCCTCTTCTGCAGGCCCCTCAAGGTCCCCCTCATCCTCATCCTCATCCTCCTCCTCCCCCTCTCCGCATGCTTCCCCACTGGACGTTTGCGTGGCGCAGCCCGTTAGCGTGCCAGGTGAATCGCTGCTCGCAACAGCAGCAATTTGTTCGGCGGTACTTTTATTTGCGATTAGCCACCGCTTGTACACTTCGCTGTTGATATCCGTCCCGCACTGCAGCGTCAAGGCAACAGTGTCCGCTGCTGCGGATCCACTGCGCCCGTGACGGCGGACGGGCGCCGGGTACATAAACACGGCCCAGGCGCACACGGAATCACTCGGGCTGTCCAACTTTCCACTGAAACCAAGCACATCATCCATACCGAATGAACACGCCTGCCACGTTTTCTCACCGGCGACGCGCCAACGCAACTTGTTGCCGGTGTCCGGGCACGACACCTCCAAAAACACATTCACCTCCCCAGCATTCGCACCGCACACAAACGAGGCGCAGCAGCCGCAGAGCAGCGCGAGGAGCGCCAGGGCGCACACCGCACGGCGCCGCACCGTCAGCGCCATCCGTAAAAACAGCGGTGGTGGTGGTGGCAGTAGCGTCGCAGCAGAGCCAGTGGGCTGCGAGGCAGCGAAGAGGAAGAAACAGAGAGAGAAATGGGGGGCGCGGTGGGGTGCGGCGCAGCGAGTGAGAGCAGGGAGAGGGAAGGAAGAAAAAGACGGCAGCCCACTAAGTTCACGCAGCAGCGCCCTGCAGCCGCACGAAAAGAAATTCATTCCGCCCCCGCCCGCGCAGATGTCTTTGGCGGTGCCAGGGCATTTAGGAGAAACAC